TTTCCAGATGTTGGGAGGAACTTCCCTCTGCACATTGTTGGGTCTAGAAAAATTGGCTGCCATCAGATCTCTCTCCACTGAGCCTTCTCAGTCATCTTACAAAAATAAATTATACTATCATGTAGTGGAGTGCCTTGACAAGTAAATCTGTGTATGTGTTTGAGAGCGGTGGAGGAAGACAGGTGTGAAAAGAAATTGCACAGACCAAACATTTCCATTCCTAAATGCATTTCCAGTTACAAATGCACATCATATTTAGCCTCTAAGTGAAAACCAAGCCAGAAACACGAAGCTTGTGTAATGGTTGTTTCTTGAGAAAGATGACTTATGAAGGACATCACACACCAGAATAGATAATTTAGGTTAGAATTAAGAGTCAAGGTAAAGGACACAGTGGAATTTTGAGTTAGAAAGACTGTGAGAGAAAATACTTGTTTCATTTGCTTTGCAAGCTAATTATACCGCTATGAGTGCACAATACCCAGATATGGCAGGAGAAGTGGCTTCAGACAGCAGAGCTCAGTTTAAAGGAACTTCTCTCCAGGGTGAGTTAGAGCTAATCAGCAATAAATTTGCATTTTTACAGGATTGTGTACAACATTATTACTGAACGGCATGGAAAGAGGAGATTGAGGGTCCAGATAAATGCATTTACATCTCCTAGGCAGCCAGCAACAGAGAAAATACTTTGGGGAATACTGACCAGTGTAAGTCATCCACTCTTCCTTGTGGAAGCTGGTAGTGACAGGACAAGACACATGTAGTGACAGGACAAGGGGGAATGGCTTCAAACTGAAAGAACATAGCTTTAGATTAGATATTAGAAAACAATTCTTTACTGTGAGGGAATGGGTTGCCCAGAGAAGCTGTGGATGCCCCATCCCTGGAAGTGTTCAAGGTCAGGTTGGATGGGGCTCTGAGTAACCTGGTCTTAGTGAATGATGTCCCTGCCCACACCAGGGGGGTTGAACCTAGTTGATCATTAAGGTCCCTTCCAGCCCAAGCCATTCTGTGATGGTAGGAAGTCAAGGAAAAAGCTAAAACTGAACTCTGTACAGCAGACAAGACTAGGCAGTCCTATACAGAATATCACACTGAAGTATTTTATAGAAATATATCCGACAATATTTTATCAGGGAGGCAATCCTACATTTTCTAGCAACCGTGGTGGCACCATTGTGATTTGGCATGTCCCAAAGGCTCATTATTCAGAGAGCTGCTGAATCCAATTGCAGTAGCTTGTTCTGGGAGCAGGTCACAAGCATTATGTTGGTTGAGGGAGGGCTCAGGAACTGGGGTGCCTCCCCTGACA